GTTCCAAGGAGAGATGATGGATGCATGGATAGATGGAAGAAAGGAAGGAAGGGAGGGTGGGAGGGAGGATAGAGAGATATGTATATGTGTATAGTGGGTTGGGGTCAAAAACCAAAAAATACCGGCCTAGAAGCAAGTGTACCTATTTCCCGTATCTGCAAAATGGAGCTAATGGAGTTTGCTCCCTCCCTGCTCTCTCAGGCCAGGTGCATGACTAAGGTCACCTCTGCGATAGTGCCCTATCTGACCTACAGTTGTTTTATTTGCAGGGGCAAAATGAGGCAAAACGGAGAGGTTTGGCTTTCTCTGGGAGATGGTTGAACACTTTGTTTGAAACTGGGCAAAGTCTCATCATTTTTGTGCACATGCTTTCTTAGAACCCAGCCACAGCCAGAGAGAGCCCTCCCAAAGGCCCTCATCAGTCCACGCACGTGAGCAAATTCTGTAGGTGGGAGGGTCCCCCGGGCTTCCCCGGGAAGTCTGCTGTGAGTGGTCGTGAGGGAGACACAAAGGATGTGTTGCCTGGAGCAAGGACTCTCCCAATGGAGAAAGAGTCAGTTAGTTCTGGAAGGTAGGAGAGATGAGCTTGGTTAAGGCTTTCTCCACACTCTCCTGGATCCCTGGTGGAAGAAAACATGACCGTTCACGAACCATCACAGCAACCCCGTGAACTGTGAGCCCCATTTCATAGATGAGGAAACTGACAGTCAGAGAGGTTGGGCACCTTCCCTGAGCTTGCACAACCATGAGCCTTGTACAAAAAAATCCCTCCTTCTGACTCCAGGCCTGTGCTCATGCCAGTGACTCCCCCTGAGCCTTGGGAAAGCCTGTTAGTCGCCCAGGAGACCCTTCCAAACTGGTTTTTTCATCCGTGAATGGGATTTTTGCTCTGTCAAGGAAGGAAGCAGCCTTTTGCTGAGAGGGAGCATTGTCTTTAGAGTCACTGTGTCCTGGCATCTCAGCCCAGTTTACAAATCAGCGCCCCGAGATCTCAAGCAAATTACCTTTGTTTCCTGCCCTGGAAAGCGAAGATGATGGCAACTTTCTCGATTCATTATGAGGATTAACCAAGATAATGTTATCACATCACAAAGTCGAGAAGGATCCATATTAACCTCTCAATGGTGGCTACCCCGGGGTGGTCTCCTTGCAGGTGGTTTCACTTTTTCCCTGTTTTCTCATCTTTATTCAGTGGTGCTCTGGTAAATGCTTGAAAACCGGCTCTCCGAAAGACCAGCCCTGATTTGTACCCTGTGCCCCTTTCCATAGTGTAAATACTCCCACGAAGGCTGATTTCAAGCTACCACCTTGAAATCACTGAACGAACTGAGGGGAGACGTGCTGGGACAAGCCCACTTCAGCACACCACTGTTGCTCTCTTCACTGTGCACTGAATGTGTTGTTTGGGCAGTAAGTTGAGAGAGCGGAAATTAATGAATAGAATACCTAGCATTGTGCCGGGCGCAACTGTTTTCGGTTCTGCCCGACCTTCCTCCATCCCCAAGCAAACAGCACCCCGACTGTGATGGCCAGGCTACGTGAGGTGGTGGTCTTCTGAGAGGTCAAGGGCCCTTATCTTGCTCCCCATCTGCCGGGCGCTCAGAACCCGGGCAGCCTGCAGAGGAGATTCCAGAGTCGGCCGACTGAGGAATAATCAGGCAGGCAAGCAGGTCCTTTAACTTTACAAGGGAGACACACTTTCAGCCAACGTGGGCAAGGTTGAAACTGCCCTAGAGGAAACCGAGAAGGGTCTCAGTGGAGCGGAGAGCGTGAAGGGGAGCGCGCGTGTACGCACGTACGCACGCACGCACGTACGCACGCACGCACAGCCCTGCGGCCAGCGTCTGGCTAGCCTAACACATGACCGGAGAGGAGGATGTGTCCCTTGGGGGTAGGGGTGGGGGTGGGGGTGGGTGCTGCAGATTTCTGAAGGATTACAGAAGAAGCGGGAGTCCCGAGAGCCCTCCGACAGGTGAGCAGGTGTGCACAGCAGACGACAGAGGGGCAGAGGGGCGGTCGCCCCCACGCTCTGCAGTCTCCGCTTCTCGGACGCCGCACAGCTTCCTGCACACAGTAGGCACTCAAGACATTTTTGTTCACGCTTGTGTTTTTAATTCATACATTTCTTCTGTTCCTGCATAGCTTAATCTATTGCAGAAAGGATGTAAGGCCCCTCAGTAAATGCTTGTCGAATCAATAAGTAAGTCTTAGCCCTCACCAGCTCCTGGTTTCACATGTTCCCGGATGTAAAATGTGACTAAATCTAAATGAGATGCAAAATGTTAATAAAGTTGCCGGTGATTTTTTTTTTTAATTTTTTTCTGGCTTTTTTGCATTTTTTTTTTTTAAATTTTTTACTTATTTATTTGACAGAGAGAGACACAGCGAGAGAGGGAACACAAGCAGGGGGAGGGGGAGAGGGAGAAGCAGGCTTCCGGCGGAGCAGGGAGCCCGATGCGGGGCTGGATCCCAGGACCCTGGGATCATGACCTGAGCCGAAGGCAGATGCTTAACGACTGAGCCACCCAGGCACCCCTTTTTTGCATTTTTCAAATGTATCTTCAAAGAACGTGGATCACTTTTGTTATTAAAAAAAAAAGAAAGAATATGTATTATAAAAATAACCTATAATAAAGAGTAGAACCGAGTGGTATCCCAGTTAAGGACACCGACAGACATCCCCTCCACTCTGTGGTGCTTGAACCAGGGGCCGCGGACACATTGGGTGGGCCCAGCATGGACCTCCTCATGCTTCAGGACCCTTGTCACAGCTGGGTTCTTTCTCAGCCTCTCTCTCCTCGGGCCTCCCACCCACCAGGTACTGACTAATAACGTTCCCCTGCGGTAACAAGTCTTAGTCAGAAGTGGGAACAGAGGCAAGTCCTAGAGAGGGGAAATAACAGGCCGCGCACAGGGCCACCGACGAGTGAGAAATTCAGAGGGCCTGCGTCCCCAGCCCCACCCGTCACTGCGGCAGAGGTGAGCGGGCCCACATGCACCTGCAGTTCGAGGAGGACCGGCTGCGGCCAGAGCCGGTGGCATCCTCGTAGCCACATGCCTCCTCCAGGGCAGCGCGGGACTCAGCCCCTTGCCCGGTGACAAACATGTCCGTTCCGCTTCTCTCCGGGTGGTGGGGCTGCACCAAGGACGCAGCGCTGAGACTGCCCCTGTGAAAGCATTTGCTGGGTGATTAATGAGCCGTCCCCACATCATGAGGGACTCGGCTCTTCCCTGGGACCTAGCTCTGCAGCTGGGGGAACCTTGCTGCGTTTGCCGGTTCTTTGTGAAAGACACAGGTCGAGTCTAGAAAATGAGGCTTGGGGGGTGGGGTGAGGAAGTTCAGGAGCTTTGCCACAGAAAGCATGCTCGTGCATACACGGTCTTTTAATTCCTCTGTCAGCCGTGTTGGTGCTCCCGAGCTTCCTGCTCTCTGTGATTCTGGAGCGACTCTAGAGCTGGTGGGCTGAGCGGAGGCAAGGCCAGGTGCCCCTGGGGCTCCGTGTGCACCCAGTGGTACACAGGGAGATGTGATCATGTGTCCTCAGAACCTAACTTTCTTTTTTGACAACTTTTATTTACACACTGTACAAATTCACCCATGGAAAGTGTATGAGCCGGTGGTTTGTAGTATATTCACAAGATTGTACAACCATCACCACCATCCGTCTTAGAACATTTTTGTCACCCCCAAAAGAAACCCTGAACCCTGTAACAGCACCCCCAACCCCTTTCAGACCCCCCAGCCCAAGCCAGGCACAAATCTAATTTTTGTCTCTCTAAATTTGCCTGATCTGGACAAATGGAATCCTACAACATGTGGCCTTTTGTGTCTGGCTCCTTTCACTTCACATAATGTCTTCAAGCGTCATCCATGTTGTAGCAAGGGTCAGCACCTCATTCCTTCTCATGGCTGAGTAGTATTCCGTTGTCCGCTTAGCATGCAATTTGTTTATCCTTTCACCGGTTGATGGACATCTATCTGGGTTGTTCCCACTTCTTGGCTGTTGTGAATAATGCGACTATGAACATGCATGGATGAGTTTTTGTGTTCCTTGAGCCTCACACCTGATTTTTTAACAGTGTATAGCTGATCATGTCACTCGTTTGCTTAAAAGCCTTCAGTAGCTCCCTTGTTTTTATAAAGTCACGTTCAAAATCCTTACTTGGTCCGCAAGGCTTACAGCTTCTGGGCTCTCCCCTTGTGCTCCTGTTCCAGCCAAAAGGTTCCTCCGACACACTTCCTACCTTGGCAGACCCCGAACCTTCCTCCCTGCACCCCCTGGCCTTAGTTGAACCCCACGCATCCCGAGGTCTCAGCCAAAATACCCCCTGCACGTACCCCAGTGAGAACCACGTGCTGACTTGTGTGGTGATCTGTCTAGTATTTCTCTCTTCTGCCGCCGGACGCCCCAGGAGAGCAGGGCCCTCGCTGGCATTCATCCGTCGGCCCGGCACCAGCTCGGTGCCTGGCACTTAGGCGCTCCGTAAATATCGGACAAATGAGGAACAGGTAACCGGGAGACTGTGAGGTCTCCCTCAGGTGGTGGGGAAACGCAGGCAGTGGCTCTCGCAGGCCTCCTGCCCCCCAACCCACCTGAGAGACCTCTGCTAAAGTTGGAATGGGTTTGGGGGAGCCCCCCATCCTCAAATAGCTAGAGCCCCATTGGGTGCCAGCTAACACGTGGGCTCTGTCTCGGGGCGAGGTAACTCCCCATGGCACAGGACTTGGGGCAGCCCCCCCGCCCCGCGCTGTCCACACCGAGGGTTACAGCGGCCACCTCCAGGGGCGACGACATGGGGTGGGGGGGCCCGTGAGGCTGCAGCTTTTGTGCGAGCTGGGAGCTGCGCTAGCACAGACCATGTTCCCTTTAGTAAAGATCGTTGCCTTTCTGCGTGTCTCATTTGAAACCCTGTCCTTGAGGAAATTGCGAGAGGAAACAGTAGACCTTCTGAGACTTAATTGCTTTTTTCAAAACACCGTGTTTTCATTTCCCCCACAGATATGCACTTATTTGGCCACTATCCCGCACATGACGACTTCTATCTCGTAGTGTGCAGTGCCTGCAATCAGGCCGTCAAGCCACAGGTTTTCCAGGCGCACTGCGGTAAGTGGACCCCCGCACCCCGCCGCACGTTCGCAGCCGCCGCTCCCGCCACCGTCACCCCCCTTTGGCTCTGGGACGGCCCGGGGTCGGCCCGGTGTGCCTGCCTCAGCCTGAGGCGGCGGGGAAGTTCTTCCTGCCGCTCTGCCTCTGCTCACAGGGGAACGATTTTCGGAGCTGTAGTCCCCCTTCGGAAATGCTCCGCCCTGTCAGAGCAAATGAGAGAAAACCTGCAACTTGTTTAGGGAAATGGGACCAGACTGAAGCCATCCGCCCAACCTGCCGGGGGCCTCCCAAGGTGACCAAAGGAGAAGGGCAGAGCGGTGGCTTGAGGAATCGCACCTGCAGCCCGACATCCCTGAAAGAGGGGGCCAGACTGTCTCCCGGGGTTTACCCTCAGAGGGGCTGGGACTCAGGGGGCTCTTGGGCTGCTGCCGCAGGAAATGCCTGGTTCTTACAGCCTCAGGTTCAGTTTCTCTCTCTCTGCAAGAGTGCTTTTTGTTTGTGTTTGGGAACTTACTTTCCCTCCGTATCTTTACATCCTTGGTGTGATAAATTCCCTTTGGTAGGTCAACAGCAAACCCTAGACCCGCCCTTCAGAGTAGGTGCCACGGACATAGAACAGATAAAGTCCACGGGACTGCTACCTCAGGAACACATAAACAGCTACTGACCTCAGACAGGCAGTTACTTAACCTCGTGGGATAGAAGTTTCCTTATCTTTAAACGGCGAGTTGGACCAGATGATTTCCAAAGCTGTGAATCCCAGAAGAGGCTTTCCCAATCTTTCTACTTAAGCCCCACTCCCTTTTTGATGAACGTAATGTCTCGCTGCCCCCTTTTACTGTGATAGCTCAAAGCACATTAAATATCGTGCCTAAAAAAAATCAAAGCAATAATAATATTGGGTATGCTTTTGTAAATTATACATTTCCCCTTTCTCACAGAGTTTCCGACTTTCCCCCACCCCCTTCAGTTGTCACTGTTCTGTAATAAATAGGTTTAAAGTGAAGGGAGTTGCTTATCCAAGCTCCTCAGTAAATGTATTTGGGCCTTTAGAATAGTTTTTATGTATTCTAACATCATTTATGAATGTGTGTATATATGATATATCCATATCTAAATATATATAATTTGTATCAGTGTGTGCCTCTGTATACGTAGTGGGAATATTTTGTGTTTTTAATATTGTAGAAAGAGGATTCAGGATTTAGTGGCACTTTCCAAAACTTTCTTACCTACACAAGGCAGAGAGAGGGCCCAAGATAAAGTGCCATACAGAGCTCTGTGTAGAGGCCCAGTCCCCCGACGTCCCTGCAGCCAGCTCTGTGAGCTTGGTTTCTCTTTTTCTTCCGTGAGGAGTGATTTCCATAGGTGCTTCTAGCTCTAACATTTTCGTTTCTGGCAGACTGAGCATGAAAGGAGCAAGTTGTGTGCTCGGCACGAGCTGACCTTCTTGCTCACTGCTCTGCAACAAATGACCCTCTCTTCCTCCAAGAGGAGAGAAAAGGTCAGACCTTCCCAAAGGGAAACTGTCGAAGTCTCAGAGGTGGTGCTAACAGCTGAGGCGACAGGTCAGGGAATAGAAAGCAGAGCAGTGGCGGGAAGATCCCACACAGCTGGTTTGTTCAGTGAATGACCATAGAATCCATGTGGCCGATTGCTTCTGTTTGTCTCGTGAAGATGCGGCGGCTAGAGCACCCCGAATATGATGGGCACTCATTCATTCGCAGGGATGTGCTGCACTGGGACACGGCTGCGAACAGGACAGACAAAAATCCCGTGAGCGTCAAAACCTTCCCTGGCAACTTAATTCACTGGCAGAGTCTGATGGAAGGAACTGGAAAGGGACCTGGGACTCCTCTGTGCCCTGCAGAGTTCTGCCCAAGCGAGGCCTCATCTAGCCAGTCAGAGAGGTCTCGAGGGCTTGGCTCTGTGGTACACCTGCCTCCCTCTGTTCTAGGCCTTTTGGTTCAAGAGCCAAGTCGAGCTCAGGGGGACGACCTAGGGTTCTGTGGCCATCTCCTCTGAGCAGTGGCAGTAAATGAGTTTGGGGGATTGGGGTGACTGGCCTCATCACTCGAAGCCCAGACTCCGTTGAGCTTCTGCCAAACCAGCTGACAAGTAGCGGTGGGAACACAACTGCAACTCGGCAGATAGAGGCGGCAAAACCTCCCTTGTCTTTCAGGTGTGTGTCCTGCCGATTCACAGCCCATATTTATCAAGACCAGGAGAATGCAAGGCAGAGCTCAGAACCACAGCAATTCTTCGGGGGCAGTGAGGATTTCTTAGTTTCCCTGAGAATTCTTTCAGGGGTTTAATGATATTTATTTTCTTGCTGTTTTATCTCCTATGACTGGCCTCGCCATTTCCAGCAAGTTAATAAGAATGACACTGTGCTAAATGCCAGGTACTGTGCTGTGTGCTTTCACTATCTTTGAGTGTATAATCCTCTCAACGGCCCTATGAAGCAGGTACCAGTGTGATCCCTGTTTTGAGCGTGAGGAAGCTAAGGCTCAGGAGCCCCTTGCCTACGGTCTCAAAGCTAGGCAGGTGCAGAGCCTGATTTTGAATGCAGGCTGCGTCACTCCAGAGTGAGGGGCGTACGTAGCCTGCTTGCTTAGCCATTGTCCCTCACTGCCCCTCTGCATGGATCCCCTGCCCTCCCTGGCCTGCCCAAACTCCAGGACCTGCCCCCATTCACTGGCCTAGTACCTGGGAGTACAGGTCTTCATACCCTATTTTGTTATCAGAGCTTTTTTTTAAAGGAATCTCATGAAGAACCCGATCTACAAATATATATGCAAAACAGAGCCATTGGAGTTGAACTTTGTATAGAGGCTCGAGCCCCACCTACCTGGCCTCTCCTGACTCCCAACCTGCCAAGGGTCCATAGAACAGCATTTGAAGTCTGTTGTAATGGAGAGGACATGAGATGGAAGACAGACAAAGCAGTTCATGTTAACTGTGTGACCCCGAGCAGGTTGCCTCTGTCTCTCCACCTTGTCTGCCTCATGGAGTTGCTGGTGCGGAATCGCTGGTAGGAAGCACCTTCTTGCAAATACACCCAGAGCCTGGGTTCCTGCGTGGCATCATGCCCCATTGCCCCCCACTAGATGTGATTTGTCCCTCCTAGTAGCCATCAAGTTTTGTTCTCCTGTGCACAACACCTTCTGCCATGCACTTCAGTTATCTGTGCACTGTCTCGGCCCCTCTACCAGCCTCTCGGATCCTTTCAGGACCAGGGATGTGCCTTGTCAGCTCTGTATTCCCAGCACCCAGAAATGAGCCCACCATCGCGGGCCCTGACCCCAGGAAGCCGAGCTAGGGTGCACTGGGAGGGACATACCTAGGGGCCAGTATGCCTGGGGCCAAATCCCAGCTCAGCCGTGCCCAGCCCTGAGACCCTGGACTTGTCACTTTTTAAATGACAGGGGACGGGATAGTGTGTTCTCTTAGCAACTTACTCATTCACAGCACATGTGATTCAGCTCCTGGATTTTATGGATACTGGCATAGAGAGAGAGAGTTGGGTGCGTGGCAGCGTCCAAGATCTCGGTGTCCTGGTTTTTTAAGTTAAATTGAAAAAAGTACACAGTGTGTGTGTGTGTGTGTGTGTGTGTGTGTGTGTGAGTATTTAGGCAGTTGGTTCTGGGGACTTTGAAGGTTGATAGTAATGTGAAAAATTGAAAGCCATAGTGGAAAAATCATGAATTTCAGAGTCAAACAGGCCCAGGTTAGAATCTTGACTAACATTTACTATCTGTGTAATGTTGGGCTAATTGCATGACTTTTCTGAGCCTCCCTTTCCTCTAAAATGAAGGTGATAGTTCTTGCCTCGCAGTTACTATGAGGAACGGAGATAAAGTAGAGTTTCCTGGCACATGGTAAGGAAATAAAGCAAGGGTAGCTATTATTGTCAATAAAGTGTGGCTATTTCTTATTAAGTTGAATGTTTCTTATGAAAAATGGGAAAACCGATACGGTCAAATGCTTCTTGTCTTCATTCTTGCCCTGTCTCAGGGGATGTGCGTGCTGAGGTCAGCCTGTAGACGTTGGCCTGTGATTCATCTTCAGCCTCGCATACTCTTGGAGGCAAGAATTGTCAGCCTGAAGATGATCACCCTGCCAGGAGTCCCGAGGATCTGGCTTTATAAATATGGTTTACATTTACATGAGGCCCCAGTGTCAGCTCCTCTGAATGTTGTGAAGCTCCAGGTACCTCTCTGGGGTCCCTGCCAAGGTCCATCCTGTTTTGGCCGCCTTGCCAGTACAGATCATGTGAGTCCCCACTCACAGGACTCTCTGCATTCGTGTTTGCTCCTGAGTTTGTGCCCCACGCTGATGTCCCAGGCATAAAAAGCAGGTGTGCCCAGGGGTGAGACCCTGTGCTTGGCACGGAGGGAGGCTCTCTGGGAGCCACCTTCTGGGCCACCCCACCTGGGTTGGTCCTCTGAGGTCTGTTTCCTGAGTCTGTGCAAGGGTCCTTTTGATGCCTTTTAAACCTCTACCCAGAAGATCTAGAATTTTGAGGGATTGCTTTGTTTCTAAAGCCTCTTCAGTGAGTTGATGAGGTGACTTAGGGATAGTCACAGAAAGGGGAAAACAGAAGCCTCGCCTTGGAGGCCCTGACCCCACTCAGCAGGCATCCCTATCCCTCATAGCTGTCCGGCCCAAGTTGTAGCTTGATACGCTGCCATGATGTGATTGGCATATGGTTGGGAATAGCCTTTCTGGGGTCTGTCTGCTTGGAATCAAGTTCCAACTCTTCCGTTTGTTAGCTTTTGGACTTGGGCAGGTTACTTGGCCTCTCTGTGCTTTACTTTCCTTATTCTTAGAATGGATAGAGTGGTGGTTGTAATGATTAAAAGAACTTGAGGCCCCTCGGTGGCTCAGTCAGTGAAGCGTCCGACTCGATCTCGGCACAGGTCTTGATCTCAGGGTCATGAGTTCAAGCCCCGCATTGGGCATGGAGACTGCTTAAAAAAAAAAAAGAAGAAGAA